CATGACGAATATTTGTGTACGTCCAGATTTGGGGGCGGGGAGGGTGGTAGGGTTGTTGTGTCCAAGTCTTCCAAACCCCGGCGCCTGGATGATGTGGAAGTGAATCGGATACCTCTTCCACATGCGAGGGGCAGGGACACGGGGGAGAGCTTCCGGAGGGTCTAACGGGGGGACCTCGGTTATACATGGATAGCTAGAATGGGGGGGGGGGGGGGTTAGGGTTTTAGGGTTCCTTATTATGATTATCGTTTAGGGTTTAGGGTACTATGTACAGCATAATATACCCCCGGACCTAGTAGATCTGGCAGTTTGAGTTACATGGCTGAACCGCTCCGAGCCTCCACCCTGAATCTGAAGCCTGCACAAGAAACACTAAAAGCCTTATAAACGCACCAGTACAACCTAGAAACTAGGGTTTACGGTTTAGGGCTTGGGGTTTAGGTAGTAGAATCCTTAACGAACCCTTGTGGAACCCTAGTCGAACATCTGAAAAAAGACCTTGCGGAAACCTGAAGCGCAAAGCATCGATCATCTTACCCTAGAAGACCAGCTGCCCGTACACTGGGCTACTGGTACAAACATGTAACCCACACATCTGTATAGTTCAGTATGTATATATATATATATATATACATATATATATATATATATGTATTAGCCTGTCATATTATAACACAAATATATATATATATATATATGTGTATATATATATATATGTATATATATACACATATATGCATGTATACTGTACACGCACACACTCTTTTTATTCTCTACATGGTTATATATTTACGCATACACGAATGTGTATATAACGTCTTACAAACACGTTTAGGGTTTAGGTTCTAGAGTTTGGGACCATGAAATCATGTTTCTGTTGTTCCTTCTACAAGAGCAGGCACTCTCTCTCTCTCTCCCTCTCTCCTGTATATCCTTCTCCTTGTCAAGGGACCTTGTCAAGGAAGGGTGGTCAGATGTTGTTGAACTTGTTAGGGTTCAGGGATTAGTGTCTTGGGACAAGTCAAGGGGGAAAAAACTAGAGTAATCGTTCATCATAATTACCCATCCCCATCCCCGAATCTCCAGGTAACTCTGTTTGTGAGTTCGCTACGCTACGTATTGAGAGAAACACGGTTACACATTCGGGTTTGGGGTTTAGGGCCAATACACCTAATAACGCAAACACCCTTCAGCTCAAATCTCAAACACACTTTTGTTGGTCTTGTGGTCTTCTTGTCGCGGTACCCCCAACCCTAAACCCTAAAGCCTGCGCCCTACATCCGAAATCCTAATTCACTAGCCAAACCCTGTATCGCAGTACCGCTGTTGGTTACCTCATTCTCTCAGCATAGGTCCCTGAGCAATGACACAGGATTCTTGCCCTAAAGGCAGTCTCGTGGGCGAAAGCTGCCCCAAACCCTCTAAGCCCCATGACCTTCTCTACTGCAAATGCTGGAGGCCTAGATTCCTAGATCTAGCAAATCCTAAGCCACGAACTTCTGAACCCTCACGGCCCCCTCAAACGCTAACCCTCCATCACTACCGTAATGTAGGGGCGTCAATGATTAGAATAGGGTTTTGGTGGTTCCTTATTCTAATTATAGTATATATCCCAAAAACGCTATTCGAATTATCTAGGCCCCTACATTAATTAATACCTGAGTTCCCTGAACTACTAACACTATCACTAAAACGCTTCCCAAGAGGCTCAACGTATGCAAGGAGTAGGGTTTTTGGTCCCAAGTACTCTGCTATAACCTGACTGGCTTGTTGGCACAACAAACCGATCGCCTATAAGCCCTATTCGGCCGCCTTTGCCCAATATTCCAGAAACTCCAATATCCCTTGATTAAGGAATATTCCTTTCATCCTTTTAGGAATCCTTATATGATTTAAGGCATATTCTTCATTAAGGGATAGATTGGAGTCCCCGGGCTCTATGGACCCTAGAAGCCTCTTACTAAACCTTACAAGCCTCCCGGTTTAGGGTTTAGGGTTTAGGGTTTAGGGTTTAGGGTTTAGGGTTTAGGGTTCAGGGCTTCATGACTGAAGGAGGGAGTCCGAGCCTAGAAAGCTCACCAGTCTGTCCCATTCGATAGAACCTGGGAGTGAAGGATGCAAGATTTACTGAGTTGTCCTTTTTTTTTCAAATTTATTTACCATTATGGTTCTCTACACAGTTGTAGGGGAAATTTGGGACAACCTAGTTTAGTGCTTAGGGGTTTAGGGATCTTTGAGATTTGGGAGTCACACGTTCAAGGCGGGGGATTTACGATGAAATCCTTCTTGCAGCTTAGGGTTTATGCTTTGGTCGTTAGATCGGGCTTTCCGGTGTAGGGAATACCATGCATTTTTGTCTGTGAGAGAGTCTTTGTGGCAGAGTGTACAGTATAGAGATGTAAACCCGTGAACCAAAACCCCCGAACCTCCTCTTTGGCTTCGGCGTAGTGTTTTCATACGTTTAGGGTGAGCTACATGCCGATAAGAGGCTGACAAACAATCAGCTCCAGAGCAATTTCAACTCCCCATAGCGGCACCAACCTCATACAACCCAACCAAGACCCAGCAATCATGAAACCCTATAAAGGCCCGACATTAATACCCCGAGCCCTTAGGCGCCAGACTCGGCATTTTCGATTCTTTGGATGCCTCCGAAGGCGACCTTGCACAGGAGCTGCAAGGCTGGTGACCCTGAAGTGGGGGTTCCTTAGAGGGATCCATCAGGGACCTATAGGGTTCCTTTAAAGGGATCCATAAGGGATCTATAGGGTTTAGGGCTTAGGGCTGCGTGGGTGTAGGGATCAAAGCTTTCCGGCTTTACTCTTACTCTTGCTTTTGAAGCGGAGGGCGTAGGGTTACTGTGTCTGGGATTAGGGAAGCCGTGTAGTCTTCAGGCTTGAAGGTTGAGGCTAAGGGTTAAGGGTTTCGAGTCGAAGTGTAGACTTTACGGGTGTGTCACCACCACCATCAGCACCAGAACCAGGAGCATCGTCATTACAACAACGAGACCGACCGGGGTTCAAAACTAGCTGGAACGATCCCAGCGCACCACTGGCTGGGGGGGCAGACCCCCCTTCATCGAATCACCATCGTCATTGCAAGTTGCAGCGGGTAGGAGAGCTTACAGTACATTGCTCAACACATGCATATCAACACATTCCATCTGCGGTGTCCAAGACTTCAACCCCACACTTGCAAAAGTTGACACCATCATCCCAACATCCGAAACCTCAAGCGTACACCCTACACCTCAAACTTAAACACCAAGAAAGAGAACCAACACTCGTTGCATTTCTGCTTTAGGCTCTTCACTGGCCTACACAGCCACCACTGAACGCTATTTATATCAACACCCCAAAGCAAACCCGAAACCGTGCAACTAAGCCCCATTGAAACCCTGAAGGTAGTCCTAACACCCTGAAGCGAAGAGATACACGCTGACGGTAGATCATAAGCCCTAAACCTAGAATCCCTATACATCACCGTGTTATAGGGCCCAAACAATTACCAATACTATCTTGGGGGCTCCGCGTAATCATAGTACGTATCATGGGCCCTTGTTTCAAACCCTACACCCCAAAACTCAATTCCCTAAGCTTGAACCCTCAGCCCAATCCCCCAAACTCAAAGCCCTAAACCCCCTAAATTCTCTAAATCCTAAATCCAAAAACTGAAAGCCCCACAACACTCACAGGAGCTGGGAGTGACACCATCGTGTGACCACCATACATGTCCAGCTCGGAGGTCCTTTGAGAGTTGTCCTTTAAGCCCTTTGAACATTATTTACTGTTATGGTTCTCTACAAAATACGGGAAATGAACAAAAATCCCAAAGGGCAACCTAGTTTTGAGAGTTTCCGGCGTAAGGTTTGGGATCCGTATCGGGGCCTTACCTAGAAAAGGGTAGTGGGGTTCGCAGCGCTGTGGCTATGGTCTGTAGGGTTTTTTTGAAAGACTTCCTGCATGCGAAAACCCAGGAATGATAGTAGAGTTTAGGGCCGTTTAGGGTCTACTATTTGCTTAAGAACACCGAATAAAATAAAAAAAATATTCCTTATAGGGGTAATATAGGGATTATTATTTTCTATTTTTCGGGGGGTTCTTAAGCAAATAGTAGGGGTTCATGGGTGGGGATCGATGGTTGGAACTCGACGCACAGAGGTATTATAGGGGACTTAAATACAAGGTTATGATAGAGTTTGGTCTAGTTGGTTCTATAGGTTTTGTGGGTGTGTTAAGGTGTTAAGGGCTAGGGAACTTCTTGTACCCTCAAAACACGTACCTTTTCAATTTTTATGGCTCCTAATCCTGGTTTCCTTCTACAGAGCCTGACAATTTCACATTCCTACTTGTCGGGCATCATGGGGAACGAAAGGTTAACCTTTTTGGTTATATAGGGATTATATTGGGACTATACTACCCAAAAAAGGTTAAAGGTTACCTACTCTACTACTGGGCCTTATCTAGCTACCAGGCTTCAATCTCCTCGACACTTCAACTCCTCAGTCCCCTTCATGCCCCAAGGGAACTCAGCGGAGAAAGGCGTTCTCTCTCTCTCTCTATATATATATATATGTACATATATATATATAATATATATATATATATATATATATATATATAGACAAGACGGTAGTTTTTTTGCTAAAGTTAGCTGGGATCCTCCTACCTCAGGCCGCGAGCCCCCTCCATGGTTCAGCCTCCCATGCCCCCTGGGACTACCGAGCTATATGAATCCTGGTTTAGGGTTTAGGGTTGAATCCTAGTTGCCCGAGGCCTGAAAGCACTAAGCCCGCGGTGAAGTCTCGTGGATTCACAATTGAAACTCCAAGTGTGATGCTTTATTGGCCATCTTCCCCCTTCAGCACCAGAAGCGACAAAGACACACACTAAACCCTAAATCCTAAACCTTAAACCCTAACCATAAACCCTACGCCAGTGGTACTTACCGGGGCCGATGTTCTCAGCAAGAGTGGAAGTGGCCCTCTGCTTGCGCCGCCTCTACCATGGCATCTTCACCGCCCCACAGCAGGCCAGCCTTGCAAAATCATGGTGCCTGCACCAGCATGGCAAATCTCCATCACCTGTTTTGATCTCGTTGGCCTCCAAATTCTGAAACTCAGCTGAGCTCTCACCCAGGACTAGCCGGGGATCTCGTGGAAAGCAAATGACTAGGTTTCGGTTGCCCGTCACCATGAGCCGGTCTGACACCCCGGATGCCACCAGCGCATCCTCCGCCTGCGCACGCGCCGTAGTTGTCGGAGCGATCACAAGACAGCGCTGGCCGAAACCCCAAAGCCCTGCCTTAATAACAAACTCGAAGCCATAAACCCAAGATAGACCTACACCCCAAACTGTACGACCGCCAGAAGCCGCGAACTCTGAAGCGCCACAACCCTGTCTGGTTTCTTGTTAACCTGGACCCCAAAACATGTAGAATAATTGCCATTTATAGGTGTTGGGCCATGATTTTCCTACTTTTGGGGGTTTGGGAAGGAACTTATAGCTTGTAAGTTACCATATAGTTAATACGGAAACCATGTTACGTACTAAAGACGCGTATTATGGAACCGAGAACTATCGTAAGTTCCTTAGCAGGAAGCCCCGCTAAATGTGAACCCAAACAAGACCAACAAGCAACTTTTAACCCTAAGCTCCAGACATTAAGCTCTCAACCCTCCAGCCCCAAACCCTAAACCCCAAACCCCAATTCCTGAACCCTAATGTCCTACACCCTAAATCCTAAACCCTAATTCCTGGAACTTAAACCCTAAAGCCTAGATCCTAAACGCTAAACCCTCAATCCTAAACGCCTAAACCCTCAACTCTGCTAAACGCTCAAGCCCCCGACCCTGAGGTCCCCGCCGTGCAGGACTCAGGCTCCGAACGGCTCACAGCCAAACCCTGAATCCTAGAGCCTACAAGTAATATCTGAATCCTAAGCCCTTTAAGCCCTAAACCCTAAACCCTGCATCCTAGACCCTGCTTCCTGAATCCTTTGCCTCATATACGTCCTAATCCCCAAATCCTGGAACTAGACCCTGAATCCTGCGAACCCTCAACCACCAACCCTGCGTCCTACACCTTTCATTCCAGACACCCAAACCCCATAAGTCCTGAACCCCAAGTCCTAAATCCCAAGGCCACGACGGGTCTCCCTGGATCTTCACGTTGCGGGACAGCAGAGCGACCTGGTCTTACTTGCCCACCATCCGAAGGGGAACTAACGGCTATTTGGCTTTTCGTAGCTAGGATACCCAGTAACCTAAGAATAAAAAGGAACCTAGGACTACAAAAAGGAAATAAGGGTACTACTGGGCATCCTAGGTAGGGATGCGGGATTAGGCTCTAGGCGAAAGGTGAAATGAGCGGGTGCAGTGGGACTCTCTTGGAATATAGAGGATTAGGATTCGGGCTTCGGGTTCTTCCTCTAGCCATCAGGAAACTCGCAAGTGATGTCAGCTAGAGTCTGAATCACTGTGTCAGCAATAAACGAAAGAGCAAACAAAAACGTCTTCAATTAAGGCTTCCGTACTACTAACACTGTACTACATACCTTGATACACGGCGTTTGAGTCTTCTGGGCCTAAAAAAGCGAAGCCCTGAAACACTTAGCCTTCGAGCTTCACTCGCTGTGGAGAAACCCACGCCGAATGTTCGGAACGAAGCCATCATCGGAAGAACGAGCTCATGCAGATAAACTGCAGTGCATCAGTCTAGGTTCGACAACAATTAAGAGCCTGGGCATGACACTTGTGATCAACCCAAAAATCCCGACCCAAAGTCCATTTAAACACCCTAAGATCCCGTAGCTACACCCTCAAACTTGCCTTGTCCAGCCCGCTTAGAAAGCTTATGCTAAGCCTGACAGTGCACTTATAACTTACTAACTACCCCAATAAGCCACAGAAGCACAAGGTTAAACTTTCCGATTCCTACTAAACTATAAGAACCCAAAAAGTTTAAACGTTAGGTATTGGGGGTCTAAGATAAGGAGAACGAAAGCTCTGCTTCAAATGCCCGTGGCCTCAGCAGACAGGTCGATGTACTCGTCATCAAGCGGCCGGGTAAAGAAGGTGGAGATGTGGGTAAACCTTGCGAAACTCAATTAATATAGGGTTTAGGGTTTAGGGTAAACCTTGCGAAACTCAATTGAATAAAGGGGCCTGAATAGCTAGAATAGGACAGCTATACTACAGACTATAATGATGGGATGAACTTACTCGTTCCTCAAATGCGTATATGACGGGCTTTAGGATTCGGGGTTTCGGGGTTTAGGATTGCTCAAGGCAATCCACGGGTTGTTGGAATGTAGTGCTTTGGGCCCAACGCCCCGTAATCCTAAACCCTACATGCCAACATCCTGTCAGAAGGAACCGCTCTCGTTGAACCTCAGCCTTCGGCGGGTCAGGGGTAATGAAGTAATGTAGGGACCTGATTAAGAAACCTTGGGACTTTATAAATGTTCCTTATATGATTCCTACTATTTTGGGGTTATGGGCCCAGGGTTTCTTAATCGGGTTGCTACATTAGGGTAAACATGTGTTTGGTGTTACACTGCCTCAGGCAAGGGCTTTAAGAAGGTGTTTCTGTTTTACCCAGTTTCGGGAAAGGGGTTGTAGGGTTCTTGGAGGTTTGTAGCGTCGCATGGGATGTAGAGCAAAGCTTTGAGGATCCCGTCGCTTGTGGTCGAAGCCATATACAATATTGAATCGTGCATGCTTCTTCTAGGTTCTGCCATCCATCTGTGCTAGGCATCACGTGCATTGGCACTACGGCTATTGTAAAGGAATTCCTCGGAGGCCAACGTCTATACCATGCTTGCAATATAAGGGCCATAACTGTAAGAATAGGGTTCCAGGGTATGCAGTAGTATAGTTATACAAGCGAACAATGAGGAACAATCTTGCTCATCATTATATTATTAAATCTGCTAGATTTTGGGTGCATCCCCCAACCTGTAGCAGCCTATGTACTAGAGATCATACCAAGGCCTAGATACAAATAGATGCTAGATACTTCCAAAACTGACAGAGTGGGGGCAATAAAACATCCCCACAACGAGACGCATGTGCGCGCTCGCGAAGAATCATGAAACTGATCCCCATTACAATCACCAAGACCCCAGCATAAAACCTACTTCAATAACCCTCTGCAAAGACTCCTCGAATCGACTACAACTGTGTAACGGCATATACCTACACCTATGACAACTGTATATACAACCATGCAATCACGGCTCTGAACCCTGCATCATGATCTCTCCGGGCATCCCCGCTCCAGGGGCGCCGTGAGTGTGATGGTCTTCATGTCAGAAGCCACGCTCTCAACATACACCCGCCTCAGGGTTTCGGGCTTGGGTTTAGGATTAGGGGTTTAAGGTTTAGGGTTGAAGCGTTTAGGGTTGAGGTTCAGGATTAGCGACCCAGAAGTAAGAAACCGGTGCGGGGTGGTTGGGGTGCAAAACCCTAACACCGTTCCTTTCATAAGAGTGACGTACTATAGGGCCAAAATAAATACTTCTAATATTTTGGTGGTTCCTGTTTTTCAGCCATAGTACAATATGTACCGCAAAAAACCTTATTATATTCATTTAAGGCCCCTATATTACCACGTCGTTCAAAAACTTGCATGGCTATCTTGATTCGGACTGTAGCCCTAGGGATAAAAATGGCCCAAAAGCCTTATAAAGTATGGCCAAAAGCCTTAATACATGAGTCCTTAGATCCGTAGGGTAGGACCCGAACCCTAGAACTGGCTAACCAGAAGAAAGCCACTGCAATGCAGCCTATAGGCAGGCCCTACGCCTCAACCCCAAAGTCTTTATGGCTGTTTAGGGTTTAGGGTTTAGGGTTTAGGGTTTAGGGTTTATGGCTTCTTCTCTGGACATTCTTTGTGCAGGAAGACTAAATCGAACACCAGTCATGAAAACGCGTCCTCTGCTGGAGTGCATCAATAAGCGGGAGTTCGAAAACCCTAAACTCTACAGACGTTCAACTCACTGGCGACTGAGCTTGCGCACTCGTTGTGGAAGTCCATGGGCCTCGGCGAGCGCTTTGCTTGAGGGTTCAAGCTCCTGTCGGGGGGTCCTTTCGGACCTCTACCAAAGGTCCATAAGGCTTTCGGCTTAGGGCTCAGACTTTCGAAGCTTAGAATCGCGGCTTAGCGGTGGGAGTGTCGAAAGTTCGAGGTTTTCAGCTTCGAGGTTGTGGGAAGGACAGGTTTGGAGCATCATCGCATCTACGACATGGGACGATGACTCTGCGACGACAGCGCCAGCGTTGACAGTTATTACGAGTGAGGTTCTGCTCTCGATAATGCCTACGCCTGTTTCGTTCGTACCACCCTGGTTTTAGTTGCAGCCGTTCTTCCTCACGGGTGCCAGCAGCATGTCGACACTTTTGGGCATAGGGATAGACTTTAACGGTTCAGTGCTCTCAGAGTCAGAAGGTAATGTCAAAGTCAAGTTGGCAGACCTAAAAAACAGGAGCTGCCTCGTGTTCTGCTGGTACTCCCTAGCACAAACTCTCCAAACCGAAAATCCTGTGCCCGTGCAGAATCTCCCGTTGTCCAATCCTGACGTGGCGTCTTAAGTCCCTTAAGATCTATGTGGGAGTTTCCGAAAATAGGGGACCCTAATATAGTACCTAAATAGTAGGATCCTTATTATAAGGACCCAAAATAAGGTACCCTTAATTTTCGGAAACTCCCATGTAAGCTACACGGCTGCTCTGCTGACGGCGCTCGCAGGGCGGCTGAACGGCTAAACTTCCGGGATGTGAGTTAGGATGCTGTGAGCCTGCCTCTCATGCAAAACCCAACGAAGAGGTCAGAAACCCATACGGTGATTTCATTCAATGGAAAGTATCTTCAAGATCCCGGGAAGTATGATGTCTATTTTGAAAACGCACAGCTTTTCGGATTTTACTCTGCGAGTTGCATAGCTAGACAAGAGCTGTATATACTTCCCTGTCAGATTAGTACCATGTTATAGGAACCTAAATCGATTAGAGATTGGGGGTTTGTACATACAGCGTTCATTCTGTAATGTTCTTCTATACGGAACGAATAGGAAGACCACCCAAACATGTAACAGTTCTGCCACCAGCTCAGAACGATTTGATTTCCAGGCTACCCAACAGCTGAAGTCGAAGTCGGACCCTGTGCAAGAGTCTCAGTATGCAGCAATGGCACTTAGATAAGTTTAGCATGGGGTTTGGAGTTATAGATGTACCGGACTTCGTAAGCCTTCATGTGGACCCTGCTGAACATGTGCTCCAGAGTCATCCAAAAGCCCTTTTCTAAATCCGGCAGACATCTCAAACCCGAAATATAAACCCTAAACCTTAAACCCTCAAGAGGTGCGCCGCAAGAGTCCGAGGTCGACACGGCGCGCCGTGCAAGCCGTTGCCATCGAAGTGCTTGTGAGGAATGTCGGTGGCCTGGGGGCTACAAAAAACATGTGTCGATTTCAACAGTCCCCACAGTTATATATAATTAGGGCTCGATATTAAACAATACGGGAAATTAAAAAATATCATCCCAGATCGACACATAAGATTTTTATAGGGATGCTACGAAGACTTCTTTCAAACAAAAAAAGGTCACTACGAAGACTTATTTCAGGCAGGTGCAACCCCGGACCCGCCAACTACCCTCTAATTTACCTCCAATTAAACACCATCCTAAACCCTAAACGCTAAACCCGGGTCATAAAGGCTCTATTAAAGTCCCCCTAAAGGATCCCGGAAACATTTGAACTGGATCTTCAGCTCAAGATCTCGGATCGGAGCTGTATGCACAAAGTAAACCCATAAAGTTGGAAACCGGATTTGGGTTTAGGGTGAGGGTTTCGGGTCTAGGGTAAGGGTTTGGGGTTTAGGGCTCGGGTTAGTGTTTAGGGTTAGGGTTTAAGGTTTAGTTTAAGGTTTAGGGCCAAATAGTCCCTATAGATTACTCTTCAGGCTTGAGGCTATCGGGTTTCCAACTTTTGGGCCTCCTATATATAGCTTCAAAAGGCCTCTTCATGGAAACGCAGTCGGGGCTCTTTGAACCAGGGAAAGTTGCCCGAGAACCCCAAGGCTTACATGGCTTAGGAGGAAGAACCCTGAACCCTAAACCTTATACCCTAAAGCCCTAAGCCCCTAAACCCCAAACCCCAAAACCCCTAAACTCAGATCCCCTAAACCAAAACCCCCAATGCCTAAAACCCTAAACCCTAAACCCCTGAAGGTCCTAAACTCTTACAAACGAAAACTGCTTACAAAGAGGAGCCCGAGGCCGACACGGCTACCATGAGCTCCTCACCCGGCTTCCAATCGACGATGTCCTGTCAGCTTCCCGAAGAGGAGGGGAAGATTTGGGGGTTTAGAGTTTTTGGGCCGTTTAGGGTTTAGGATTTCTACCGAACGGGACGAAGATTTGTTGTGTGTTCCTTTTTAAGTCTGCTGAGAGGTTTCTGCCTCCCACGATTTGGGGTTTAGGATTTGGGGGCTTTGGATTTCTACTCATGTTTCTGCTCTGTCGACGTCTACAGACTTTTGCCCTAAAGCTACTGTGGGATCCTCTTTGAAGCCCACTTACAGACTACGTAGGTCCGTGCATCCTGTGGGATGCTGCCATTGAGGCTTACAACGACTAACAACGAAACCCTAGGGATAGCCCAAAAGCGTTATGTAGTATGGTCTTTGGGCCCAACGCCTTAATATACGAGTCCTGAGATCCCTAGGGGAAAGGTATCCCCATAACACTAGAGACTCTGCGAAGTGCTGCACTCAGAACTCTGACAGCCCTAAGCCGTTACTCCCAGCCCAAAACCACGACCACCAAAAGAAGGCGAGAACTGAGACCATCAGGGCCAGCAGAATTTAGTGTGTAGGGCTTAGGTTTGGGTTTTGGGCTTGGGGTGGAGGGCTTTGGGTTCAGAGTTTAGAGTTCTTTGAGGGATCAATGATTGTGGACGTTCTGACAGGATTAAACACAGCAGCACCAGTGTCGATGTATATAGGCAACAATTGGTGCCATGGTGGTCGATAACATTTTAAGCTTACGTTATGCCAAAACTCATTCCAAGCCTACTAGCAATCGTAGTTATAATAGCAATAATAGTATTCATAACAATCGTAATAACAATAATAGTAACAGTGGAAATCATAGTAAGATCGCACCGGCACGCCTGCAGGACAATCACCCGGTCACCTGCGTTGGCCGTCTGGGCCAACCTGGTCCAGACCTCCGAGACCAGAAGCTTAGGGGTACACTTAACGGATTATGGGATTTAGTAAGTAACGTTATATGTACCTTAATTGGGGTTATAAGTAGTTTTAAGTATAGTTACGCCCAAAATTTGCGCGTATAGTTACCTTACTTATAGCCCAGGTAACTAAGTCCAATGACTCTCTAAGCAAGGTTACTGACTTCGTGTTTGTAGTTTCGAGCTCACATTGGGGTGCTGGAGTTGTGCATTCCAGGCATCAGCTTGTAAGCCCCCCTGAATCCTAAAGCCTAACCTCTCAAGCAATATAAACGCCTTTTAACTGTACAAAACCCTGTAGGACCCCAAGCACAGTCTGCATTGTGACAAGCCTCCCGCCTCCATCCAGAAACATAAACCCGATTGTGCCCAGAGACTCTCAAACCCCGACACCTCAACCCCAAACCCTAAACCCTGCGCCCTAAACACTAATCACTTACGAAGTCGAAGCACTCATTAGAGGGCTGTACACTGGCAGCATTTCCTGTTACGGCAACTTATCTTACAACACGAAGCCAGAACTCCCAAAGCCTCAAGACCAGATCCGTAAACCTTGCAAGTTACTTAGTTCCTACCCAAAGGCCCCAAAGTAGTTCCTTTTTGGGGTTCATATATAGAATCCTATAGGGTAACACCAAAAAGGAACTACTTTGGGGCCTCTGGGTAGTGACTTAGTGCAGATTGCGCACCCTAAATCCCATGCCCTCGGCACTCTGCTTGCAGTTCATCGTTCGGCGACCTTCTTGATATACTACGGTTGATGATATAAATCCTGCATTACCCAGAATAATAAGGAAAATACCATAATTCCCATAGTCTAGAGTCCTTAAGGTAATGCAGGATGTATATCATCAACCGTAGCAGGATCCAGGGCATACAACACATGAACTCCCCAAAACAGAACCGTCACGCAGCCTACGGCTAGACCTTGACACATTCAAACCATAAACCTGGGATCCGTTTTTGTATAGTTACAATATGGAGCCCTAAGGATTGATGTTGGTAGTTGTTGTGGCTTCTTTATTCGACTGCAACCAAAGAATGACCTTAACTTTGCAGACGGGCCTTGAGCCTTGGCATGCCGTGGATGTCCAGCGTGCCGATCTCGGTGGCAGCAAGACAATGCAGTGTTTCACGCGCTACGCACAGCTTTCAGGGGCTAAGTCGGGTTTTCGGGGCTGGGGAGTTGTGGGCTTGCGGCCTATGCAGGGTTTCGGGCTTTGAGGGCTTAGAGTTCGCAAGTAGAGGGCTTGGACGGCTTTTACACTGCCATTCTTGAAAATGCGTCACCAAAAAGATCACCCTTATTATGGATGACTCATGGCTAAGTTCAAACAATAGGCCAACGGACTCAACCTTATACCCAGACAACTAAGAAGCACATAGGATCCTTCAAGCGGTTAATGAACCCCATTTTTGTTGGGACTCTTTGGCCTGACTCTTGAAATAAATGCAGAAAACTCCCAGTACCGTAAGCCAACCACTAAACACCGGTGTGACGGGAGATGTATCGGCTTTGGAAGTAGAGGGTGGCTGCGTGCTGGGGTGGGCATGTTTCGATCTTGCCAAAAGAACCTTAAGCCCTGAATCCAACTCCTCAATCCTAAACTTGAACCTCTCAAACTGTAAGTCCCAAACCTGATCCACAAAACCCATCCATAAAATCAACAGAATGTGAACGCACTTGGGGGTGTTAGTCTAAAGCCAAGTTATGTATGTATGTATGTGTATATATATATATATATATACACACACATCTCCGCACACAAAGCCGGGCTGCTAAGGGTTCAGGGCTTTAAAGTGTAGCTTAACCCCAAATCACCTACCCTTCTCTTTAAGCCTAAATCCTGAATCCTAGCCCTATAACCCTAAGCCCCTAAAACCTAAACTCCAAAAGCTTACAATAAGGAAGTCATACGAAGGAGCCCTTCGGCTTTAGGGGTTTTCGAGGTGATTCCAAGGGTAAAAGGAGGGACCCTTAATACGGACGCCTAGGTACATACCCTTAATATAGTATAGTCATTAGAAACCCGTTATATAGCCCATTATCGGGTAGGGGTCCCCATTAAAGGTCCCTCCTTTTCCCCTTTGGGTGATGGTAGGGTCAAGGGCTGAAGCCCTAAGCCTACGACCCGAGCCTTGAGGCTTCTACGGGCTGACACCGGAACCTGGATTATTAGGGAGACCCCTTGAAGGGCACCACTTCTGAACCCTACTTCTGGCTCTCTTAAAAGGGGCCTTATTGAGAGGGTCTATATCCAAGGGTCACCCTAATCCTAACTCCCATTTATTGGCTTACTAGAATGCCTTTTGCCTTTTTTTGTAGAGGGGGGTGTATGCAGGAATATTAACGGTGTAGTTAGTCATCCTGATACGGACTTTACTTATCAGTATCTTTGTTGATAAGAATACAGGTAAATATTCCGACTCCTATCTTAGTCTACTGCATCGACGACTCGAAGTGCTGGGTCGCCCAGCGTTACCTTCCTCGATGGCATTGTCACCTTGCTCTCGGATGGTGAACTGCCTCAGACTTCGCACGCTGCACCACCGTGGGTGCTGTGTTGTCCGGGGCTATACTGTAACTATGACCAGGCACCAGGGACATGTGACTACTATGAAGCTGTTCAGCCCGAAAGAACTCGAATGAACGACATGGATGCTCACATAGTGCGGGCTTTCGTATTTAGTACGGCCTCGATAATGAAGACAGCGATTCTAGCTTTAAGCCCTTTACATTGTAACAAAAACGACCCAGACTTGGAATCTTTTCGTGGTTGTTTTTGCGCCTTGGCGTCTCCGTTGGAGGCCCCTTGTCTCGAAACATTCTAAGCAGGGGCCCTTTGGCCCTTTTGCTGCTCTTACCCACGGGGAACTAGATTCTGCTTGTAAACGGGCCCTGCATCGGGGCTTCTTCTGCATAGGGCACAAAGACACTGCTGACTTGTTTCGAACTGGCCTTGGAAGCCCTGAACCCTACCAGGACCCCCCAAGTACCTTTTAAAGGGATCTTGTACTTCTCATCCAGAGGTAACTAATCAGGGGCTACAATAAAGGGTAGTTGGGGGTCTAGGTAAACCCTCAACTAAAACCTCAAACCCTGCCTCCGACTGTACCTTGCAACCCCCTCATCTCTCCACCTCGGACTCTAATCCAACCTGTCGGTGCAACCGCATTTGTCTCATAGAGATAATATATTCTGTATATTTAAGTTGCTTACACACATGTCTACGGTCTATCCTGTGTAGTTCTTTGCCAAAGCCCTGACCCCCGAAACTAAAGCCTTGAAAGTTCGCGTCAGCAACACCCACTGCTGACATGAAAGCAAGGGGCGTGTTGGAAACTGCCAGCACCTTCCCGCCGATGACCGGCCTGGCCAAAGGCTTTTTGCTCCATCTACCTCTGTGACCGAAAACCCTAAACCCTGAACCCGACACCCCAAAACCCTAAACCCTAAAGCCCTATAACCTCCAGTATTTTGAACTCTCTCAGGTCTGGAAACCCATTCAGAGTATAGTATCGTAGAACCATACGAAGGCCACATTTTTACCAGTGGCTTCACTTGCGGGCTTGACAGCTTAAGCCCGGGTTCCCCCGTAACCCCTCGAAAACTTAAGGCGAAGCATGCCCCTTTTCCGACTCTTCAGATATCATACTTAACTATGGATCATTTCTCAATATGGAGGGCACATTGAAGGATCATTGCCGGCAATGTCGTCAGTCCGAACGACAGGTCACCCCAGAAGGTTTGAACGAGTTTGGCTTCTTCCTGATTAAACGGAGGCCTTCTCACTTCCAATAGGGTTTGCGCCGGCACGCAAGCAGAACGAGGATCCCAAAGGAAGGATACTGCCAAGCATTCTTGCCGATGTTATTGGTCATCGGACCGTACAACCTCATGAGTTTTTAAGTTTTGGGTTGTGCTGCCATGCTATAGTCTATGGTCTGCGTATATTGGACTAGAAAGGGGAATGATTAAGGTCCATTCCCGACAATGTAGCCCCAAACCCTAAACGCCGTAAACTAAAACCAACCAAGACTTCAACCCAGACTCTGAACCTTCAACCAACAAACTCTGAAATCACCCTCGTGCAATTCTCTTAGACGAGTGGCTTTGGCCAGGGTGTGTACGATTTCGGGCTTAATTACCAGAGTTTTCGGGGTCCCGCACAGCGGCGCAGCATGTCGAAGGAAAGCTGGGCACCGGGCAGTCGGATGGTGCTGTACCTGAGCATGCCGCGCTTAGCAAGAAAGAGCGTGGCGCGCACGTAAGCCGTCGTTAGTTTGTGCTGGTTTGGGGGGCTGCCCATCTGGAGTGTAGCATCTACAGAGGTGTGAGAGACGACAGACACATTACACAAGTGCGAGTCCGCCTCACACAGGCTCCTATAGACTCTAAACCGTGAGCCTTACACCCTAAACGCTGCATGCAGTAAGCCCTCAACCTGAATATCTCAAGCAAGACCCTGAACTGTGGCCTTCTCGTTGTGGCGGGCCTCTTTTTGGTAGTCGCAAGTCGCAAGGGGTCGCCATAGTGTTGACTCGAGCAAGGACTGAAGCTCGATCCAGCCATGGAAGTAACTCTTACTACCCCAATAAGCCACAGACATAAAACGTTAAACTTTCCGATTCCTACTAAACTAGAAGAACCCTTAAACAGTGTAAAGGTTAGGTATTGGGGATCGAAGTAACTAAGCAGCGGGTTGCCTCCATCAGAACTCGAATCGCCAGGGCGATGCGATTGACACACCCTAGGGCTCTAGTTACCGAAATGGAATAGGGTAGGGTTTAGGGTTTAGGGGTTTAGGGTTTAGGCCCCAGTAACCTACTATTTAGGTTATTGGAGCCCTCGGGACAGAGACATTGTTCAGTGGTGGCCGGACTCGAGATTTGGGCCTCCAGCCTGACCTGACTGCACCGTTTTGCCGTCAGCAAGCACTACGGTTGATGATATAAATCCTGCATTACCTTAATGACCCTAGACTCTGGGAATTATGGTATATCCCTTCTGATGGGTAATGCAGGGTTTATATCATCAACCGTATGACGCGGCCAGCCAACACTTCTCCATGAAGACATCCAGCGAGCACTCCGGGATCTCCAATTTCGTGCAGCCTCAAGTCAATACCCCTGCCGGGCTATCGATGTCTGCTAGAACCCTGAACTCTTTACCCTAAACCCTCATCTAGACCCCAAAGACTTAACAGTAAACTTAACCTAAACACCAAGCTTACAAAACCATCAACACCACAAACTCGAAGCCCCTATATTGCATTTCATTGCAACCATACGAGACTACGCCCAATCGCCAGACAAACATGCGCTCGAGTGTCAGGCCGATACTCCGGACCTAGGAGTAAAGACTGGGTCTTACTCGTTAAGGAAACCCACTGCATTGCCACAATAAGCAAAGCAAGCTCTGTCTTAGTACATTAACATCTGCATCCCAATTCAGGTTGATTTGGGGTTTAGGGTTCTGTGTACTATTCAAAACACATATTCCCCAGCATGATGCTTTTTTCAGGTCTAAAACCAGGGGCGTCGGCAGAAACTTAAACCCTAAACTCCCTAGACCACTTTTAAATTATAACCCTAAACCAAAGATCTCTAATCCTTCAAACCTGAAGCTCTAAACATCCGAATCCTAAACCCTAAACCCCAAACCCAAAACCCTAAATCCAAAACCTTAAACCCAGAATTTCTGTGCAACGCCTGGGGCCCTAAGGTTAGGTCTCGAGGCTCAAAGCTTCAGGCTTTGGATTCGAGAGTTCAGGGTTCAGAGCTTCGTGGCTTGATGAGATGTTTGGGGTTTCGGGGTCTAGGGTCGTGGGTAGCTTAGGGTTTGGGGTCTAGGGTTATGCGTAGTTTAGGGTTGGGGTTTTGGGATGGGGTTTAGAATTATGGGTTGGGGGTTTAGGGCTTGGGGTTTACTGTCGGTTTAGAGGGCAAAAAGGTGTTTAGAGTCTGGGGTTTCGGGAGGAAGTATTCCAATCCCAGCAGCTTCTGACCGTGCAGGGTGATGAGAGCCTTAGCCGCATCGGGCACAAGAAGAACGATAGCCAAGAGAGTCCATATACACTAGCATTATGGAATTAAGTCCCCAAGGGCATAATAGGCATGGGTCTGTTGGTACTTACTTCCGTAGTGGTAGTGTATATGGGGCTGGGTCTTCAGTTGCAGGCAGTAGGCCCTTGCTGACAAGCAAGAGGCCCGGCAACAGCTCGCTCAAAATAACCAACGGAGCACCTTAAATTAGTCGTTAGCTCAGCATGCAAGCCTTCAAACCTCAAACACATGCAACCATGCATGCGAATGCACACAAGCAGACACCACAAGTGTTGAACTTAGTTGTTAAACCCCATAGAATAGGCATCAACAAAGCTTAAACAATACCACCCGTTTCCTTGGGTCTCTTTGGGTTCTCAGAAATCCTACATTTTGAGGTTCCCTAAATCGTTACGACCCTTAGGGTAAACCCCAAAACCATACAGCAGACGCCTAAAAGTTGGAAACCCGATAGCCTCAATCCCTAAGAGCAAAGCATAAGGAATCCCAGCACGATTTGTCCTTAATTAGGTTTCCAACTTTTTGGAGTCACAGTAAATCCATAAATCCTACAGCCCTACCTCCCGTAGCCCCCCTTTGCAGCTATTCCGAAATGCCAGGGTGAGTTCAGCTCCAAGGTTCCGTTTAGGGTGTAGGGTTCAGGATCTAAGGGGTTTAGGGTTTAGGGTGTAGGGGTTTAGGGATTTAGGGTTTATAGGGGTTTAGGCTTTAGGGTTTAGGGGTTTAGAGGTTTAGGGTTCAGGGGTTCAGGGTTTAGGGTTTAGGCTTCAGGCGCTCAACCACGCCTGCCTTGCACCGTTTGCTGAAACCCTACGCCCAACTTCAGGCTTGTAGGGCGTCGGTGGAGGCTTCCGGATACTGAAGAAGAGAAGCAGAACCGGGACTGCCGTGGTCATTATCTACGTACCGGTAGTGATATAGCTTGGGGTTTATAGAAATTGGGTTTTAGAGCCTACGGCCTAGGGTTGGTTTCTTCATCCAAGCATTTACAATAACCTGGCCCAGAACAGCAATGATGTCAGGAGTCGCGTTCATACACACACTCCGGTCAATTCCACGACAACCGGGTGGCAACCATACGTCAATCTTCTAGATCTTCATGCAAAGGGTCAGACAATGGACAATATTATATTATATATAACAAGGTAAAAACGACATGATATAACATACATATATATGTATACACATAATATAATAGTAAAACGCCACATCGCGTAGTGTATCATAATGGAACAAAGAGCATGAACATGCAGCGAAACACAGCCCTACCCCCCGAACAAGTCCGTCCCTAGGCCCGAAGCCCTAGTCTGCGACTTACTACTACCCCAATAAGCCACAGACATACGAGGTTAAACTTTCCGATTCCAACAAAACTATAACAACCCAAAAAGTTTAAAGGTTTGGTATTGGAGATCTAAAGCGAGGCCCACACCCGGTGCCGGAAGGGACGTTCTTCGGTTCCAATCTCAAAGGTACCACCCTGGCAAAGGATTCGAATTCGGCTTAGGATTAGGGCGTACCAAAATGGTCCTAGGAGCTGCTATGGGGACTACTCCCAAAATCATAAAACCCTACATATATTCTTCTACCGACTACCGACGTACTTTGGACACTTTGTCATAGGGTTTAGAGTCTGGGGGTTTAGGGAATCATGCAGGTGACTTGATGGCACCTTCGGGACAAGAACCGTCTGGTTCTTAGTGGGGAATAGGGGAATGGATCCCTATAGTAGTCCCTATATAATCCCCAATAATGGTCTCCATAATCCATTCCCTACTTCCCCACTAAGCACCAGACAGAGAAGGCTGAAGCGAACCTCCGCTCCCGCAGGAACTTTGATTCTGAACCCTCGCAATGCGTCTTGGCCCTATAGACCCAGAAGCACCTTGCAATCCATAATATCACCCTTACGCCTAAACACCCTAAACCCTAAACCCTAAGCCTTACCCCTAAACCCTTAATATAGCCCGAAATGCCAAGGGATACTCCGGGGGACTCCGGGAGCTACTTTGGCCCTGCACCCAAAAAGGAAGCCCCTGGATCCGGAATTCATCGGATCCCGGAATCCGCGTCCAAGTTGGGCATTTCGGTGTTGCTGCAGTGCTACTGATGATGGACAAAATCCAGCATGACCTTAAGGACCCTAAACTATGGGAATTCTGGTATATTCCTTAATTATATTGGGTCATGCAGGATTTTGTCCATCCACAGTATGAGGCCTAGAGTGCATGGTAGAAGTGTATGGATTCGTGCTCAGGGGGTGCTTCGGCTTGGGGTTTTGAGATGTAGGCTTTACTCTCTTCTTCAATGCCCGGGCCCATAAACGTGCTAAGTTTCTGAGAAAGACCAAAGATTTATAGTCTCCATTGTAGTTCTTTTGTGGTTAACCAGTTTTATGGTTAGGATCCTATAATATAGTTTTTGGCTTACCAAAAAAGAAACTACAATGGAAACTATAGATTTATTAGCACAGCAAGTTTGAAGTTCTCCCGTTGGCTATCAAGCTTACGATTCAGCGAAGGTGTAAAAAAAGGAGCAAGCACCGCGCCTTCACCCAGATATATGTCGCTTGCAGGTGGATGTCCTTGTTGTCGAAGACCAGCACGCCTGCGGCATCGGAGCACACGGCGGGTGAGCTTAAAGCGTGAGGATTCCAAGCTTAATGAAACGTAAAGTATTATTCCTGAGGGTCCACTAATGAATCATTTGTGTAAAAATGTACAGTAACACAGCCCGACCCCTGTTAAACATGAATACGGCGCGTTTTTGCGATGCAGGAGCTTGATCGACAATCGCCGAGTTCTCCATCCCGAGCCATAAGCGTTCACGTACCCAAAAGACCTAAATGCGGCGGCCGTACACCAAGTAAGGTATCCCAAGCACCCTTAGAATCATTATCAACGCAATATCTTTATAATGCCACAATAAGTTTGATGACAAGAGCATCAAAGTAACTCCTGAGAGCACGGAATACTAATGATATAGGACCCCAAGGCCAACTAACATAGTCCATTCGTGCATGGACTTTGGTTAGGACAGGAGATTCCATATTCAGAGGCCTGAAAAGAGGCAGTGCGGGTTATCTGATTCTGTATTGTGCCAACACAATAACCCTAAACCCTAAACTCTAGACTACAGACTGCAAAACAACAAAGGTTTTGTTTAGGCCCTCTGGTCTTAACTCATCTTTGCCGTCGGAGCCTTAAACCCTATAGCAAACTCAGAAACCCAGTGTGGCCTGTATGTCTCAGGCACAGACCGCCAAAGTTTCTTCAGACCGCAGTCTTGAGCATGGCCGTGCTTGCTCGACTGGCAGCCTCGGCAGGCGAAGCTCTCATTGGCCAGACGTTGACAGTCCTCGCATGTCGGCGAGCAGAAGTAGTTGCCGAAGGCGGTGCGGGAAGCTTGCAAGCGCTGAAGGGTGAGTGCTTGCGCTTCGGTCGCCACGGCTGCGCGCGACTGCAAGAAAAGAAACGCTTCTTCAACCTCAGCCAGGCTCTGGATCGGTAGCTGACCCAAGTTGCGCTCGAAGGTGTCAGGATGAACCGAACGCTGCGCGGCTCGGTACTGAGCGCGCAAGTATGCGGTGCCCTCGACATCCAACCGAGGAAGGTCCAAAGCAAGGACCGCAGCTGCACGTGCCGGTGTCAACCCTGAACCCCGAAGCCCGAAACTTCTTATAAGCCCTACAGTAGACACCAAAGCGCATGACCCCGAAGCCCCAAAACACACACCGGGCCTTCCACAGTAAGGATGAGCAGCACCGGTGTGTCCTCGTCCTGAGCAATGGTGTTGGATTTCTTTGCGTTGGCACCGGTGCAGATAAAAGCGACGACGTGTTCAGAGTTAAGGGTCAGGGTTGATGATAATCGATGACGATGCTTACGGCAATGCAAGGAGGACAGTAGTGGTGCTAAGAGCACAGCACAAATTAACCACGGCAAAAGCAGCTCTAGTGGCAGCCCCATAGACCTCATGCTGACGATGGTAATCTTGACAGGGATCCAAAAGAAGTCTTGGTCGCGGTGACAGAGATCTCGTTTCTTTATCCATGGATGGAGCACCTATGTATATCGCGCCACCTGGTCTCCCGACCTTCAGCGATCGCAACAGCTCACGTTCCGATACTTCTATTGGGCTGCAGCCTAATGACACACTTTGCTTGTGTGGGTAGCTGCCAGCCGTAATCCGACCTTAGCAGCAAAACTCAAGCCCCAAGTGCGGAACCCTAAACCCGAAGCAACAACAGCCCCTTTTTCGAACCGGGAACCACCCAGCAAACAAAACAGCACCAAAACACACCGAGCGCCCGAGGGTTCATTTAATATAGGTGCCTTACCAAATAAAATGAGGTTTTGGGGCTCATGATACTACATTTATAGTAAGGAACCACCGAAATGAGTAAATATTTCGGCCACTGAAAGGAACCCCTATAGATCCCTTCAAGGAACCCTAGCAGAGGCTTATGCCGGCCCCTGTAATACGCTGGGTGCCCCGGGCGAGCAGGATAGAGGGAAAGACCCTAATATAGTACCCAAGAGTTGTAGGATCCTTATTACAGGGAAACTTCCATTTGTACCGCGTGCCCCGGGCGAGCAGGGTAGTAGGGGACCCTAACCCTGTACGTCAACCGTCTCGTTAAACCCGTCGGTTTAGTGAGTGGCGTAACGTGCTCGCTTTACCATGTAGGCTCTTGACCTACTTCTGCTCTAAATGCTAGTAGGTGAAAAAAAATAAGCTGGTTACAGGATTTTAATCCATTGATGCTGGTTTTTGAGGGGCTTTCCATGCGCCTATAGATTGATTACATTGGTTGCAAAGTTGGGCTCCTGATGGCCATTCCCAGATTTGCTAGGTTCATCTTTCAGATATGTCTCATCGATGAGTTGAGTCGAAATGTATCGGCTCTTCTGGCCTTGATGGAGGTACTTGTGTAAAGTTCATAGATCTATAACACCCAAAATCCTAAACCTGAGTAGCCCCAAGCTTGATGACATCCTGCATCCCATCCGATCCTGCTGATTCACAGCAGCTCTATGTGCTTGGCTTTGGGGTCTTAGGTCAGATCCTTTCGTGGAGATATCGCCTGAGACTATGTAGTTTAGGGCCCGAAATGAAAGCCATGAACATGCTAGTGGACAACTTTTAGCTGAATCAAGTGATGCCCATGCCACCTTAAAAGCTGAAGGACCTAGAACCCCAACCTGTATTCCACCACTGTATGATCCATGGATACATGTGATGGGCTCTGGCGTGCATTCGATGCAACTGCAGGATGACAGAGCCTCGATAAAATTAGATTGGATTTGACCTCGTGATCAGTGAGAATCCATGGGACAGGATTGTATACGAAGCATCTCAGGATGGCTGTGATCTACAAGATGCATATGCTTCGCAAAGATCTGTGAATGGAGGAGCCTCGGCCCAACTGCTTCCAATTCTTTTGGCTGTAGCAGGTTTATGATTACATTCATGCTGTGCCTGTAGAGCCTAGGACTGATGGATCGCGAGACCAGTTCGATCAGATCTGTGGAGCCTCGATAGCAAGAATATTCGATTCCAGGATCCTTTCAAAAGCTTATATCCCGGATAAGGTGATCTATGCGGAAGGCTGTGGAGCACAGAACCTCGGTGAAATATCTCACGCAAAGTGTGCTGTTTCAAAACTACAGAAGTTACAGAAGTGTGTTCCAGAGTGCTAGATCTCAGGATTCAAACAGACTGCTGAAGTTCGCGATGACTGGTCGACATCCAGTCGAGATCCGCATGTTTGTTTCGGGAAAGGGGGTGCTTTGTGTCGAATTCGGAATTCAGTTTAAGCTTAGCCGGGCTTAGAATTATAAGGGGGAATTAGGCTACTTAATTTTTTAGGGGTCCCGAACTCTTGACTCGGAGCTGGGCCGTGCATCCGAAATCCCAAACCCCCAACACCTATGGTAGAAGCCAGAAAGTTGGAACATTAGTATCCTCATGCCCCTAAAGTAAAGTATACGGGATCCTAGCACAAATCCTCCTAAATCCATGTTCCAACTTTCTGGCTTCTACTGTACACTTCGAAACCTCTTAACCCGCAAATCCCTGGTCTGCATGCTGTTGCTTTTCACACGCAGCCATCGGCCGAGATTGTGTAAAGCCTTGGCCACAGGTTTTGTTCCCTCTAGGTGTGCAAAGACAAATTTAAAGAATGACTCAGCTTGTGGGTGCTTCCTCTTGGGGAGAACCTCGTATATCATACAAGTTAGGTATAAGTTTGGATATCGAGCCGAGCTAGGGCTAGGTAGGGCAGCTTCTGGCTGTTGTGTTAGGTGCTAGGCTGTCGAAGCTTGGGTTATTATAATTGGGGTCTTGCTTTTCCTGCAGCTGGGTCGCCATGCCAAGTTCGAAGCCGAATGAGGAAACGGTTTTGATCTTGAAGGCCAGTCAGTTAAATGATGGTCCCTGAGTCCCGGCGCCCAACCCTACACCAAAATCTGAAAACACCCGCATCCCACCCTCACAGGAATTCTATTCCGCCCTGCTCGGAAGCCAAGATTATGTGGATGGGCGATTGCGACAAATCGCCCAAGAATCGGGCATCGGCCCTCGCAAGTTGGAAAGATGCTTGAAGCGATCGAAGGTAGGATTTCAGCCAGGGCTTTGCAATCTGGAGTTTCGGCTCATCTGTTTGCAGGTTCCCGTGAACTTCTCTTTTGTGAGCTTGGCTGGGAATGCTGTGAATGAGCTGGAGGCCATATACTGATCAATCACACCATTTCGAAGCCCCGTTATACCTGATCAGGTCGAGCAGGATATCAACTATGAGTTCTTAATCAATTTTTTGGCCTTGGTTGGGGCCTGCCTGCCGACAGCGAAGGAGACCCAGGCTGCTCATCATGTCATTGAACAATGAACCCGATTGTTTCTGAAGCCTGCAGGCTGCATTGGTTTCTGTTGCCAAGCCGAACAAGATAGTATCTCAGAAGATGTCAGTCCGTGACTTGGAGGCGCAACTCTTGCCTCATGGTTTATATTGGTTATGCACTGGCCCCTGTGCCAGGCTTGGGCTCTGACAGAAGGAAACCTGCACAGAGCAATGGCATCGTATGTGGTACGACGTGCCAGGTCCAACAAAGGTACAAGGCGAGGTTGCAGTTTCTCAGGGTACATGATTGGTTCTGCTGACCAGGTCGGGGCATGAGAAAATGGCGAACCTGAAGCAGATTGTCAACGAGCTCAGGGGCTCCAAGGACTCCATTCCATGTGGACCTGTACATTGCACTTGATTCCGATGCGACCTTGTCAGGAGCCTTCGAAAGCTTCGAAAGAGAGTGAGAAAGAGAAGGAAGAATCTGATGAGGATGATGATGTCATCTATGTGCAGATGCATCAGCAGCCGGTGTGTGTGCCCGACTCCTCCGAAGAGGACGGGTCAAGAGACTGTGACTCTCTCTCTCTCTCTCTCTCTCTCTCTCTCTCTCTCTCTCTCTCCGATTCTCTCCTCTTTATCTTCTATGGCCCTATGAAAAATACCCTGAACCCAAACCCTGTAATAATTATTTGTAATATTGTAATACCCATGAAGCCTTCAGCCCCTTATGCTTTTCAGGAAGACAATCCTCATCATGAAGGCGGCCAGTCGGTGGATGAGGACAGCATGCTTTTCTTGAATGAGCACATATATATATATATATACTGATTATTTCTAGTACTCCTGGAAGGGGCAGCCTTGGGTGAAGCCTTCACTACGTAAGGCCGGGACATTATCGGCAAATCCAATTCAACATGACTAAATACCCTGGAGTCCTTGAAATTTCAATGGCAGGTTGGGCACATCCGGCCTACTCGAAGTGCGAGCTTGACAAGTGTGGAGGTTCAATTCAGAGATGCTGGCCCGCACTAGTTTGTGGGTGTGTTTTTGTGAGTTGTTGCAGGCTCTTTCATCAAAAGGCGGAACACCAGAAAGGGAAGAGGAGACCCCAGTGAGTGGACAGCGGAAGCTATTGCCAAGGCCCAAGCACCGGAAAGGAAAGGAACAGGAGATCCCCAACCAGCCCCCCGCAATGCCCCCAGTGGAACAGGATGATGAGGATTTATATCTTGGGGCAGAGGATATCCCAAGACCCGGGCACGATGCATGGGAAGAGGACATTGTAAAGCCCAAACCCAGCAGCAGGAAGGCCCAAGAGATCCCCAAGCAGCCGGTGCTTGTCCCAACCAGATCTCCCGAGAAGGCTGCTGAGAAAGCCACAACGAAGGATGAGAAGCCCAGCCCTCGAATGGTGATCGTCCCAACTAAATCTCCCAAGAAGGCTGCTGAGGAATCCATGACGAAGGATGGGAAGCCCAGCCCTGGAAAGGTGATCGTCCCAACTTCCGAGAAGGCTGCTCAGGAAGCAGCGAATGAGGACTGCACTCACATATCCCTGAGCTCATACCTTAGATTCGTATTTGTTTCTATGTAGATACATGTTTAAACTATTCTGTAGTGTGGGTTAGTCATGTTACACAGAGTCTGCAGCCATACTCACGCAGCAAACTATTCAGTTCAGAAATACATACATACTTGTATTTATGGCATCCCTCTGGTGTTGTTTTGTTTGTCAGGGTGGCAATGACGACCAAGAGCAGCTCAAGAAGCCTTTGTTCAAGGAGTTGCCCAAGGTGCCAGAGGGCATGCTCGGGCAGGTGGAGGCTTTGTGCAAGGATCTGTCCGGATCAGGATCCGCTGATGATGTGCTCCAGGCCAGGTCATGATCGTGATGAGCGAGAGAGAGAGAAAGCCAAAGCCAGAGAGAGAGAGAGAGAGAGAGAGAGAGAGATAATTTCGGGCAGGCGCAAAGGAAGCTTCGTGAGAATATCAGGAACGAGAAGGAAGCTGCCAAAGAGACAAAGGCAAAAGCAAAAGCAAAGGCAAAGGCAAAAGCAAAGGGAAAAGGAAAGGCCAAGGCCAAGGCCAAGGCAAAGGAGGGCGATGAGGATGAGTGCGAGGGTGAAAAGGATCCTGAAGCTGTAGCCTTGGAAGAAGAAGATGCAAAGGCCAAGGATGACATCAGGCAAGAGAGCAGCAGGAAGAAGAAGAAGAAGAAGAAGAGGCTGGAATAGATATATATACTTGTTATTATTTGAATTTGACCATTTTGCGAGCCTGTCCAGGACAGCTGAAGGATCGCTGCCTGCTGGAAGTCCCGACTGCAAGAAAAGGTTGGCCTTCTCAGATGCTGAGAGTGAGGCAGCGGCACCGCAGGAGGACAATAATCAGTGCAAGATATGTGCTCATGGGGGATATGGGTCGACATCGCAGGTGCATCCTTGTATCAAACCAATTATATGTTTTAGGGGGTCGCTGCAGGACCAGGAGGATGTGCCATCGTTGTCATGGCTGACCCCTCTACGGAGAAGCCGGGCTCGCGAGATCATGCGAAGCGCGAATCGCGAGGCGAAAGAGGCCCGAAAGAAACTAGAAGAGGAGAGCCGAGAAGAGGCTGAGCCCAAGCGACGGCGCAAAAGGAGTAAGTGCAAGGAGCCATCCAAGGCCTCAGGGAGCAAGGATCTTCAGGAGGAGTCCGAGGAGGCTCGAGAGCCAATTTCAAGCTTGCTCGACAAGGCTATCCTCTTGTGATCCATGATTACCTAATTTTAAATCTATGTGCTCTTTCCTGCTCGAACAGGTCAAGTCTGGGAGCATCTCCACTGGATGGACACCAGAGGTTGCCGAGAAGAAGACTGGGAAGAAGAAGTATACAAGCAAGGATGAGATGCCACTGACCCGCCAGAAAGTGGAGGACGGTTCCATTATGTAATGCAACTGCAGAATGAATTTCGAATGCTTCTTCATGCTCAATCATGATATATTCACAGGAAAAGAAGGAGACCATTCTGGACGACCTGAGAATGCTGGCCAAGATCGACCGCTCGATTGTGGTGCCACCCCCGGAAAGATTGGCCGACTGCACGCCCTCAGGCTTTTGATTATGTTTATCGTGTGTGCTAGGTAGTGTCAAGGACTCTAGTCTAGCTCAGATTCGGCAGTTGTGCTTGGCCAAGGAGCTACACGCTGAAGCCGTCCGTGAAGGTGCAGCAGCTGTATAATTCTCCACGCACCACCATCAATGTCTTGCTCCCTGCCTGCATTGTTGGCCGATCTGTCTGCATGCTTCCATCTACACTGCCTTTGGTGTTTGTTCCTTCTGCTCTAGTTATAAGTATGTTCGAATGACCCTACTCCGGATGTTTATAATTCTGGCTTGGCAATGCTCAGGCTGGGTGGCAGCTTCCTGGTCAATGGTGTGGATAAGACAACGCTCGAGGCTGTGAATAAATTCCACAAGCTGCAGTACCAGGTGCAATCAGGGTCTTATGGTGATGTTTGCAGCTTCGCATTGGTTCATGCATGTTGCTCTGGATCTGTGGTTTTGGGGAACTGCCAATCCAAGGCTAACAAGCAAGACGGAGTGTCCATCACTTGGGTGAAGGGTGACCAAGGGTCACTTCAACGGCAGCTTCTCGGTTGTTTGTAAGTTGATTTGTCAATTATAATGTCTCGATCATGGAGCCAAGGTACATGATTGCCAAAAAGATTGCAGGATGGTTGAAACCTACGTGGACGTGATGCTACCTCGTGTCACACGTGTGACTTGGGATGTGATCTGTGCTGCTCCGACTGCAAAAGAACAGCAACGGTCAATTCCGTGAGTTACAATGATTGTGCATATTCACCATGGGCATTGCGATCATGCGAAGTCTCCATTGAAACTGCTGCCGGCTACCAGAGGCGAGCTACGTACTTTCTACAGACAGGGGGTCTATGTGTGTACATGAACAAACATGTAATAACTCCGAAACGGGTGTGACGAGTCCTGAATCCTGCCATCGACCTGAGGTGTGTGTGTGTGTGTGTGTCTATGTCTGCATGTTAGATTAGATTGCACAGTACGTCTGCAGCCATGGATCCCATGAAGAAGTCACCGCTGTCTCTCTCGGCATCAGCAATCGCCACCTTGACGCTGATGGGTTGTCACAGTGTGCTGCCAGCCACTCAACTTCCAGCTTGCTGTAGCCTGGTAAGATCTCAGACATGTAGGATATAAAGACTGCAGGATTCATTGCTGCGATTACATTGTGCAGAACAGCCCACCCGACATGTCATTCAGAGCTGGGCACTCAACTACTCATGAGAGTCGCACCGCCTATCATTTGCAAACTAATAGACCGTATTGCTCCTCAGGATTTGGTTCACTACGACATGTTCAGTGGAGTGAGAAATATGCAGCGGCAGTACTGCAGGGGGCCTGGTGGAGTGTCCATGTAACGTACTGTGTTGTCATGTAGTAGGTTCATGTATATGGTGTGTGTATGCCTGGTCGTGCTGCAGGCCTGTCAGGGCTTCGCTCGTGTCTCATTAGCAACATGGATAGCATCCACCTGTGCAGTTGCACAGACTTGCATGCAACTCAGGGACTATATGGATTCGTCGTCCCGGCCAAGCGATGATATCTGCACCACGCTGCTCACCTTGGATTACGAAGCTTTTACTGTTCTCGCAGCTCTGACCCAAAGCTCACATTCTTATATTAACTATACCTAGACCCCAACCCCGAGAACTCATTCTAGTGGAAGTGGCTCGTACTCAGATCAACAAGAGTCGGAACAACTCCCCTAAGCCCCGAATTCAGCCCCAACCAAACCCTAGAACCCCAAACCTCCAAAGCGCAGATCTAGAAGCCTATGTTCAGAAAAAGCCATGAAGCCCGAATAATACCAATTCCTCTACTATGATCATGATCATTTGACCTAACTGAGGTTAGGATTCATCTCTGCGATTCGCTCGGCCTTGAAATTGAAAGCCCAAGTCGGCATGGCCACCATTGGTGTTCCATGCAACAGCTATGTCTTCATGAATGCAGCAACTTCTGGTCGCAGCAGAGACGAGCCATTAGGAAATGAAGAGCTGGAGTATGTTCGCACTTCGAACAAGTTGCTTGGAACAATACCCTATACGTTGATATGGGGTAGCTGCCCGTTACCCACTCTCTCTCTCTCTCTCTCTCTCTCTCTCTCTCTCTCTCTCTCTCTCTCTCTCTCTCTCTCTCTCCCTCCTCTCTCTCTCTCTCTCTCTCTCTCTCTCTCTCTCTCTCTCTCTCTCTCTCTCTCTCTCTCTCTCTCTCTCTCTCTCTCTCTCTCTCTCTCTCTCTCTCTGCTTCTCTCTATGTGTATGTATCTCTCTGTCACTCCCTCCCTCCCTTCCATAGCTATGTTTCAGACCATGCTGCCACCAATAAGGATCTGTGCCAGGGTATGCCTCATCCTGCTCTTGATGACGGTCCGCCAAACCTTCTTTATGCTGGAACAGCCGGCATCGTCACTCTTGGAGTGGTCACCATATATGAGGCACGTCTTCGAGACTTTGAAACGGTTCATGCCAATCCATCGTACATTCTTGCCGTTGCCCCAGGATGCATGCAATACACATGTGCAGTGCTTGTGCCTCTCCTTTGTTTCCCTCTCTCCGTCTCCCTCTCCCTCTCCCTCTCCCTCTCTCTTCTCGTGGCTCCGTTTTGGGAACGCCTGTTGTTGTTGTGGTCTCTCTTCTCGTGGCTCCGTTTTGGGAACGCCTGTTGTTGTTGTTGTTGTTGTGGTCTCTCTTCTCGTGGCTCCGTTTTGGGTCTCTCTCTCTCTCTCTCTCTCTCTCTCTCTCTCTCTCTCTGTCTCTCTCTCTCTCTCTCTCTCTCTCTCTGTGCCTCCTGTCCATCTAAGCTGGCTTGGTTCCTGGGGCCACTTCAGCCCCAAGGGCTCCCTGGCCTTTGGGACACTGTCTCCCTGCTGAAATTATGTAACATTCGACTGGGCTGGGGCCTTGTCAGCTGCAGGTGTGAGTTGTTACTGAGGGGTGGGGTTTCCAAGCTCTTCAAGAAGCTGACGCACAAACGGCGGCTTCGGCTGGGCTTGACCTCGAATGGTGTGTCTTATAGACGAAAGAACAAGTATGGGAAGACGGTGGTGCAGGGGGCTGAGCTCATCATCGTAGCTTATATAATGAGTCCTTTCTGATAAAACCTGGATCCCTGCTGGCTCTCCCAAGGACCGGTGGGCCCAAGCTAAAGCGAACTGCTGAGTACCCGCAGAAGTTTTGCAACAAGGTCCTGAAGCTACACATGCAGTTCGTTGAATCTGGGCAGCATGAGTTGCTATATGTTGTTGCAGTGCCACAACATGAACTTAATCAAAGGAGAAATCTGGACACAAGATCGTGCAGTGGCTGCAAGATGGTCGGGATCTCCTTGCTGCCGGCCCAAAGGCAGGATCTATTGGCGCAGTGGGGTGGTACAACTTAAACCAATTGTGTTTCAAGTGCTTGCCGCCAGGTCCCGAAGCCACTGGATTGGGTGCACGCCGAACTCGGAGAGGTTCTTCAATTCCTGCGGCAGGAGGAGCAAGCAGGGCGTTTCAAGCCGCTGTCTCGCCTGTGAGTACTAGCTTATAGGTGTTCTGCACACTTAAAGTGTGGCTGTGACATTTAATTCCATGAGGGCTCCTTTAATTCAGCGAAGTTCACAGATGATCTTTGGGCCTCAGGCCTAATTAGTTGTTGTTCTGGAGCAGAATATGCTGCTCTGAGCAGAAGAATCCAAGCGCAATTGGACACGCACCACAGCGTGAGTAAAGCGTGAGTGGAGCGTGAGTGGGCGTGAGTGCTTATATAGCCACAGTCATAGGCTGTGTGCAACCACCCCGGAAAACCGTGAGCAAAGCGTGACTTTAGCGTGAGTTGTCGTGAGTGTCTTTTATGACCATTGATTGGCTCCTTGATCTAGGACCTTTGGGAAGGAATCCTTACCATGCTCTGCAGTTGCACTTATGTTGATTTGTGGATCATCTGCAATATAATGTACAGTGTACTTAGCTAAGTCTAGGAAAGCCCGGCCCCTCCATCATGGCCTCGGCAGTGAGTGAAGCTCTTGCACGTGCAAAAGCCCTGAGGGCAAAGGCCTTGAACCAGGGCCCACCGATCGAGGAACCGGAGGTGCCGCAGACTGCCAAGCCCTCAACGCAGCCTTTGAAGCGAGAGCTGCCCACACCGGGCCGACGACCCGTCAAGCGAGAGAAGAAGCCAAGCCCAAAGCCGACGTCGAACCAGGCCAGCACAAGGGGAGTGTTCATGTATGTTCGTGCTCGATCTAGATCTAACTATAACTACTATCTATACTAGCATGATGTGCCCTGTCCTGGCAGGCCGTGGGTCCGGCTCCAGGAGTTGCAGACATCAGCCAGGCAGGCTGCACCTGGGATTCTCCAAAGTTCCACTATATATCTTCCCTAGACCCCAAACCTTATCCCTAAGTCGCCAAACTAGGTATACTTATTCTCATCAGGGTTGAAAAGGGGTGGCTGTTTTTTGGGGGGGAGGGTGGAAACAAACATCTGACCTACCGGAGGCTTTCCACACAAGGCCTTATATTGGGTGGGGGTTTACGGGGTTTAGGGTCTAGGGCCCAGGGTCTAGGGTTGGGGTTAGGGTGTCGGGTATTTTTGCAGTTCGCTTGCAGTGAAGTTTCACCAGGCTGGGATCGATGAAAGGATGAGTGAAGCTCCAGAGGCATCCCATCCTGAGGCCGAGCATTGCATGTCACTTGAGTGTTTTTTGCAAGCCTGGTGCTCCCGAGTAATCTGGATACTCTTCATGCACGCAGGATATACTTAAACTTGGGTCCCAACAGGATGATGACAAAGATGCAAAGACTGATGCTCCACAGGAAGACAATGATCAGGCCCGGCCCATGTGGTCTCATGTATGTGTATAGAACTGAACCTCTAGGTAAAACCAATGCAAAGCCATGTCTGTGGCCTCAGGATCAAGTGCACATGGAAGATGATCAGCGGGGGCTCAATGCTCAAGAGCCTGAGGCCTGGTGTGGGACCACACATACATATATATGTGCATAACATAACATAATTTAACTAGTATAGATATTATATCGGTTATGACATGACAATATATATATATATATATATGTAGCATACAGCCAATGATCGGACATGCAACATGAAGTGCTTTTGCATGTACATATGCATACATACATATACATAGCATGTGTTCCTATACATATATATGTATACTACATACATACATACATACATACATACATACATACATACATACATACATACATACATACATACATACATACATACACACATAAATATATACATACATACATACATACATATATACATGAATATGCATAACATATACATGCACATTATACATGTAGAGGGTTTTTATAAACACATACCCCGATTAATAACTGCATGCTTCGTAGCCTGAGTCTATACGACACATCCAAAATGTTGTTCCATCCATGCGAGAGCTCTTGCTGCCGGAGGCTGCTGAAGATGGCTATCGTGAGCAAGGCTTCTCCGAGGCTGACACGTTGGAGTATCGGCAGCTTGCGAAGTTTCCTTCGACACAAGTGGAGGAATGGGACTGGAAGGGGAATGATTCATGGGGCTCAGGCTACGGTGTAGCTTGGTCGGCTTGGAATGATGATCAGTGGGGCTGGGGTTCTTGGGGCTGGAGCTCTACCCCTGGGTGGTGGAGCAAGCACCAGGATGATGACAGGTGCAAAGAAGCTGAAAGCCCAGGCCCACAAAGCACCCAGCAGACCCCGCAGAAGCAAACTGAGCCGCAGCCCCGCTCCGGCAGCACAACAAAAAGCCCAAAAAGCATTGAGAATGCACATGCATTGAAGCGAGCCACAACGATGTCTTCGCAGCCTGCAACCCCAGCAACCTCTCCTTTGAAGGCCTCGCCCTCTGTTCCAGCTACCCAGCCGTCCCCAACCACCTCCCCTGCAACAACAGGCCAGAACAAGCGCAAGCATGGTGACACAAGCCTCAAGAAGCCTGAGAAGGATGTGAGCACAGGTTCGCCGCAGGAGCAGTGGGCATCAATTCAGGATATCTTGCAACGAGGCCACACAGTGGACCGCCTCAGCGATGATGAACTCGCTGAGGTAGTTTTTCAGATCGACCGATTGAAGAAAAGCCGTTCGATGCCCGTACAGGAAACTGAAGCACCGACCCAGCAGGGACAGGAGGCACAAAAGGAAAAGGATGAGTCGCAGGCAACCGAAGCAGACAAGAAAAAGAAGGAGTCGCAGGCAACCGAAGCAGACAAGGAAAAGATGGAGTCACAGGCAACCGAAGCACAGAAAGAAAAGAAGGAGTCAGAGGCAACCGAAGCAGACAAGGAAAAGAAGGAGTCACAGGCAACCGCAGCACAGAAGGACAAGAAGGAGTCACAGGCAACCGAAGCACAGAAGGACAAGAAGGAGTCACAGGCAACCGAAGCACAGAAGGACAAGAAGGAGTCACAGGCAACCGAAGCACAGAAGGACAAGAAGGAGTCACAGGCAACTGTCGAAAGCACCAAGCAAGGAGCAGAGGAAGAAGGACGGAGATCCCAAAGGCAAGCAAGAATTGACACCGGAGCAGGAGGCAAAGCTTGCACTGAAGAAGAAACTCCATGCACGCTACATGAGATTCAGTCGATCTCTCACCAGCTCCTCGGCAAGCCAGTTGTGTATGGGTATATACATATGTGTGTGTATATATATATAGAATCCTACAAGTGGCTGCCGAGGCCACTGGACTTCGCTGCTGTGAAGTGAAACCTACTTGTACGAGAATTGTATGCAGACCTTCCTATATGTTTCAGTCTAGAGGAGAGAGAGATAGAGATAGAGAGAGAGAGAGAGAGAGAGAGAGAGAGAGAGAGAGAGAGAGAGAGAGAGAGAGAGAGAGAGAGAGAGAGATGGAGAGAGAGAGAAAAAGAGAGAAGGGGAGAGTCGAAGCACTCGAGAAGTAGCTCAGGTGGCCGGACACCGAAGGAAGTGAGGAAGCTGGCTGACAGAGACCTGGATTCTGATCAGAGAAACTTCTTGTTCGAGCATTGGCTTCAGGCCAACGAGAACTGGAACGCATCCAAGCTTTTGGTTACCTTGAAGAACAAGTCCGGGAAAAAGAAGGTTGGACTCCGAAAGTGGCTGACAAAGGCCGACCTTCTGCAGAAGTACAAGGACGAGGAGGTGGTACAGGCCATCATAGATGCAAAGGTGAATGACAAGGAGCTGTGCAAGACACAGGTGAGGAACCATCCTGATTGCCCTCATCGCGAAGATCTCAAGCAATACCTATGTGTTGTAGATGATAGCGAGGAAAACTACGAAGGGGAAGAAGTGGAACACACGTTCGAGATGGACAACGATCTCGACGAGTCGAGCTCCGACCAAAGCAGTGACGAGGATGGTCAGGAGGAGGATGAGGAAGAGCAGGAGAGCAAGAAGCCAAAGAAGGAAGGAAAGCCCAAGCAGCCGAAGAGTGCGAAGAAGAACAAGAAGAGCAAGAAAAGCAAGAGCTCCCCCAACAAGAAAAACCGTGCCAGGGCCAAAGCCAAGGGCAAAGCAAAGCCAAAAGGGAAAGCCAAGGCTACTGAATCATCACTTGTTTGTGTTTGGTTTCCACCCTACACTCTACACCCTACTTAAACCCCCCAATGCCCTGAACAATTATATAATGCCAGGCCAAACAGCCAACCGGCGGAGACGATGGAGAAGACAAGCCACTGAATGCAAAGGAGATGAAAGGCAAGGCCAGGAAGGTGGGAGCCCATATCCCTCATAAGTCTTCCCCCTGAGTTTCCAGAACCCTAAACCCTTACAGTCATGAGCCCCGAACCCTTAAATTGCAATGCTCTGTGCTAGGCAGTGGACAAAGCCACGGACAAGCTCCAAGCAGTACGAAAGTGCCAGGACGTGGAATCGTCAGAGAATGTGTGCTTGACTCAGATATCTTGCAAAACCATACATGTCATCAAACCGTTGCTCTTTGTTTTTGTCCAGGGGTGACAAACTCCTGAAAGCCATGAAGGACGATGTCGAAGCCCAGGTGCAAGCTATATACACATTCTTAAAGTTTCCCAAACCCCACGACCTTATGACACATATCTGATCGATCCGAAGGCCTCGCTCATCCGGACGGAGAGAGCAGATCTGCAGCGATTGATGGATGAGTCCGAGGCCAATAATTTCCTTAGGTGGGTGTTGAGATCGGTTTGGGGTTTATAGGATTTCAGAATTGGAGGATCCGTGATCGTTTTAGAATAAGGTTACAATTATACGGGCTCTTTTCGTGCAAGTGTTTTTCATCTGCTTGGCTGTATAATAAAGTACCCAATATATAAACTTTGTAGCCCAACCATGTCTAAACCCCTATATATTGTTGCTCAATTATCTACAATATTATATAACACCGATTGGTCGAGTGACCAGGCTTTTTTGGGAGTACTTCGAGTGATTTGAATACGTTGAAGACATTACTCTGTATCCCCTCCGGGAATTTCGTAATAGAGAGTGATTAGTCTAAGATGGCATCTGGTCTGTAGTGCAATCATCGGGCTCCCCACTGAGATTGTGGCTAGCCTCTAATTGTTGGTTCTCAATCTCACCTGCAGCCCTGCAGAGGTGGCATCCATGCCGAGCGCCGTGGACAAGCTGACCACAACGTGTGACAAGTTTGATAAGATCACCAAGGAGTTCTGGAACAAAGTGAATGGCAAGTCGACTAAGAAGTGATGTGAAATGTGAACCGTAGCTGTGCATGTAGCTTTGTAATACTTGTGATTCTAGACTAGATGCTATGATGTTTACTTGCCAGCTTTCTTCATTTCAAGGCTGTGCCAGGGTGAACCTTGGCCACTGTGATTGTTGTGCCTGCCACTTTGTACATAGCAGAAAACTCTTGATGTTGCAGTCTGCGGGATGTGATGCTAGCTGAACATGTAACTACTGGACTCAAAACCCATAAACCCTGAACCCTTAAACCCTACATATATATATATATATGTGTACGTAGTTAGTTCATCACTCTTTGTCACCCTATAATAATACTAAATCAGGAGTACCAGGTGCATGGTGGCAGCCACAGGGGCCCGGATGTAGCAGCACCGGCAGCTGCTCAATGTGAGCTGTGTACACGGAGCACCTCAGATCTTTCAATGCTGATACAATCCCTCTAGAGCCTGCTGCTGCAACGAGCTGTGATGCTGAGGTGCCATGGGAGGTATGCAGTGCATTCTAGATCTAATGCTGCCATAGGCTGAGTCTGGGATCCAGTTTTGGTGGAGTTTTACGAGAAGCTTCGCCCGTGAAAAAAATCTTTGCAACTGGAAGCCCTGGACCACAATATTGACAATACCCAGCAGAGCCCCTCAACAAAAGGCCACCCACATCCTTCGACCCTGAAACGCAACATTTATTTCCTGAACACTGAAACCAAGCACTGGGAGGGATTTGCGAAGCACATGCCAGGTGAAGATGTCGATAAGGATACCGATGGCTTGCTGCAGCATATGTACAACAAGATATCCAGTGGAGAGCCTTGGCTTCCAAATGTGCAGTCAAGGCACAATGTATTTCGGAGGCATGCTGCCTGCAATATGTCCTCAGCCCAGGCTTCCAGTATTGATGCAGCTATGAAAGATGCCCAAGCTGGTTTCCAGGACATCGATTCGGGTGCAATGTTGCATTGTTGTTGGCTCGATCAATATCTAATATACCTTGCCATGCCTGTTCTGATCAAGGACACCCAGAAGTTCTTCAAGGGCAAGACTATTAAATCGTTGATGCGGTTCAAGCCTGGAAATGCTGCACGTGACTTCTTCAAGACTGTGAAGCTTCCTCTGGTGCCCAGCAAGAAATTAAATAGCAGGGGGCATAGAAAACATAAAGAGGTTAAAACTATATATAGCTGCCCACCAACCCATGCACTTCCCAACAGCTAGCCGTACACCTTCAAGTAATAAGGTTGTAATAAGGTTGACCTACCCACAAACCACCAACCCCCCTAATCCCCAAAACACCACCCCATAACTCCAAGCCCTGAAGCTGTAAACCTTCAAGCCCCAGACCCTAAACTCCCAGGCCCGACAACCGCAATCCCCTAAGCCCTGTAGTTAGCACCCGCTGTCTAGAGCAGGAGCCTACACCAGTCAAAGTTCCTGTCTGGGAGTATGCGGATGGTGAATGGAAGCAGGCCTCAACTACGGTACCGGTACTAGACATACATGAGATTCTGAGCTACGTTCATTGTGAGCTGGGATTGCAAACCCCGCCGGAGAAGGTCAAAGAATACTGGGCACACCTGTGCAGCCACGGTGTTCCCTTTGCCACTCGTCACCCTTCTACACATGCAAACGAGCCGTGCCGACATTCCCACATACCGTTCTCACTTTATGGAGATGAATGCCAGCTGTCAGCAGATGGTTCGGAGAAGGTGACAGCCATGTTTGTCTCCTTAACTCTTTTCCGACCCAAAGAGGTTAGGCTTGGACACTTTATGGTTTTTTGTATGAAGGACGAGTTCATGGTTCACGAAAACCTTGCGACCCTGAGCCCCATTCTGAAGCACATTGCCTGGAGTTCGAATGTGGCCTTTGATGGCAAGTTTCCACAATGTGGGCCAATGGGCGAAGCTTTGTCATCTTCGAAGATGGCCCGGGCCGGGGATTTCCTGGCGCACGGACGGGCATTCGCTGCTTGTGAACTTCGGGGAGATTGGAAATGGCATGAAAGGACACTTCGGCTGCTTCACACTCCTACAAGCACATGCTGCTGCCTGTTCTGTGGGGCTGAAGCTTCTGATGAGTCCCCGCTTCGATATTACGAGACTGGAGAGTCTGCAGGCTGGGCTTCCACGATTGCTACAACAGCAGACTTTTTGCTTCACAAAGTTCGGCCTGGATGCTTGAGTGACTTGGACTGCATGTCTAAATCCTGCTACCAACCTACTATAAGTATTCTATTCTAATAACTGGACAGTGATCCATGAGGTCCTCTGTCATTTCTCCGTGGGTTCGATATATCCATGGTCAAGTTCTGTAGCATGCATGTGAACAACCTGGGCCTCACCCTTACAGCGAACGGTGGAGCAATGAAGGCATTAATGGATGCTGGTGTATGGGGTGATGCAGCTGTTGTATCAGAGGATGCACAACTGGATAAAGCTTTCCAAGAGTTCAAGGTTTGGAAGAAAACCAAAGGAGTTCCATGCAGCCAAAAGCGGTTCCGGCTTACACGACTGAAGAAGGAATCGCATGGATACTATTTTACAAACAAGGCCTATAACAGCAGAATCCTGCTCCAATGGCTGTCTGAGACGTGCACACTCGAAGCTGCCCGTGCACATCCTAATCAGTCCGAGCTGGCCCTCCATGCGGTTGCACTGCAGCCCAGACAGCAATCATGAGCATCAATTTGCTGCTAGTTCGAAAATAAACAGCTAAATTTAGACCTAGTGCCTTCCGACTCGTTTTATTTACAATGAAAGCCTGCACCCGTTCCCTGAGTCAGGTCCTCCTATGCTGAATGGTACTCGCGAGTGAGTCAGGTCCTCCTATGCTGAATGGTACTCGCGAGTCGAAGCAGCCCCACGATACGTGCAGCACGGCAGCACGGCATGGCTATGATTTCTGCAATGATTATAGGTTGCAGCTTAGGACTGAATCTGATGCTGAGAAAATCTACACAGCGGGCAACAAGTTCTTGCAATGCCATCGGGTGCTGACAATCCACAGTCACAGGCGCAATGACCCCAACCTTCCTTGCCCTTTAAAGGGTTGTAATTTTGAGCCCTGCTTCTCTACATTTCGTGCTGTTTGGGATGCCCTGCTCTCCTAGCATCGAAACCTGTTGCAGCTGCATACTAGCTATGGTCAGGAAGGGACTCCTTGCTTGGGTCATGAAACCGAAATTCCATGTGCCTTGCTTGCATCAAAGTGTGAAGGTTGCATGGTTCTTTGTTTTCTGATCACATGTGCCACCTGAGGCAATGGCACATTTATTGCGAGATACTCGAAACTGGCGACCCTGGGCTTCAATTACGTACACATCGCCTCTGCGACTTTCATGTGAGCCGATATTCAACTGATTTGGTTTGTTCAGGACTGAATGTGCGATACTATCACAATTTTGGTGGTGAAGATTCGATGGGGTGGATTAAACGTTAGGGACCTACGAGCTGCTAATAACTGCTACCCCATTTATTGGCCCTTGGCCCTTGTGAATTCCGCGAGGCACAGCTCTGAAGGCACCTCGTGGTCATGATAATCTTTCACGATGGATGACCAAGATGGCCAATCTTAAACTGCTGGCAAGCAAGAAGAAGCTCACCCCGACACTGGGCACAAAGTGCAGAGCCTGGCTTCCTCTTGCAACAGATACACGTCTAGCTGAGATCTCAGGAAAAAATTGCTGCTGGCTTCCGAAGGTGATCTCGGTGTCATGATTCTCGGCTGACACTCAAAGTGTGCACACCAGTGCAATGTTCGAGCAAACTATCGAATCTGAGGAATGTGGTCGCTGCTTCTGCAGGGTGCGAAAGCGAGAAGTGTGCGCTTTCACGAAAAAATGAACTGGAGAGGCTTTCGGGAGTTAGTTCTAGAGCGAGAAAGCATAGTGTCAGGCCTGACTTGCTCAAGTTTAA